GAAATTGAATTAATCGTGAGATCTTATACTAGTGATAGTCATTGTCCTCGTCAAATTAAATGCCAAACATGGCCCAATACCAGCCATACCAATAAAGAGTGCGTCTTAACTAGTACTAATGATGAAGCCAATTGGCTTAATCTCATTTTGCACTATTATAATTTAGCATTTTAGCACTTATGCAACTTTCAAAAAAGTTATATTAATTCGCACCTTCAAAATATAATAAATCATTCACAGTGCACTATAAATTGAATATTTAAAGTTTAATTAGGACAATTTCATTTTTTATTGGTTTTGTTTTATTTTGAGCGTGCAAAATAACAAACCAAACTATTATTTTCTCGACCTCCAACTGGATTTTGAGCTTATAAAGTGCGAAAAAATTAAAAATCGCGCCGGATTATTTAAAACAAAATATTTTCTTACCCAGTAAAAAACTCTTCTCGTTAAATTATTCGATTGATGGATCTTTTATTGTAATGCGTCAAAATATTTGGTAGAAATCTTTGAAAAAAATTAAAATTAACAAAATAGTTGAAGGAATATATATATATATATATATATATATATATATATATATATATATATATATATATATGGATATAATTCACTTTCATCAACTTTAAAAAATTCATTCAGGTGCATTTTGCATGATTTATCGTATTTTAAAGATGCAAAGTGTTATTATTTTTTTTTTAGGAAGTAGAGTGCCAAAAACACTATATTTTAAGGATACAATGTGGGATCAAGCCGAAACCAATAATTAAGAGAAATTTTATTTTTCTTTAATTTGATGGTTCTATAAAGATTCATCTACTTTTTAATAGTGGTTTTAAATTTGACAATTCCCATCAGTGGAAGAAAAGGACAGGGTGTGGGGAATATATTGATTGTTTTCGCCCCCAACTTTTAGGGCCTAACGCGTGACAGTAAGATTTGTTTTTTAAGATTAGGAACCGTTATGATTCAACACTATATTTTATAGAATATATATCTGATGAAATACATTATGCAGTTTTATATCATCGATTTATGCATAGTAACACACACCTCTATATATATGCGTATTTAGTAAGTAGGTAAACAATTTTAAAACCATACAATGTATTTTATCAGGCGTAGAATATATCTCATATTCAAAGGTATTTTTTAATCAAACCTATCAAGAAATTAATTTCATTAATATTAAAGTAAATTACAATCACCCCTGAGGTATAGTTAAATTACGAAACTTCCCTCTTGTTTGGGTAATTACAACCACCTCCCTCAACTATAAATCTTCTTACATATCCACCTCTGCCGTTTCAAATTTAGTGGAATTTTCTAGATTATATGGAATATTCTCAATTTTGGACCCGTTTTATCACATTCGAGCTCCACCTTTTGAAGCTAGATGATCATAAGATGTGTTTTTTTTGCTTGTATATATCAAATTGTGATGCATCAGAAACTATAATTTTGCACAAAATGAGTACAAACTATAGAAAATTCCACGGAATCTAGATGATTATGTTGAATTTGACACCATAAAGTGGAGATGTAAGAAGATTTATAATTGAGGGGTAGATGTAATTATCCACACATGAGGAGTTTTTTTTATAATCTGACCATACTTCAAGGAATGGTTGTAATTTACTCTTAATATTAAGAAGGGTAAATTGCACTTAACCCCCCTATGGTTTCACAAATTTGCACTTTACCCCCCTTTGATATCGATTTAGTGACTTAACCCCCTCGTGGTTGTCAATTTGTAGCGACCGTCTAATAATCCGTTAAATTTAACCGAGAGTGCAGCTCACTTGCCCAAATTTGAAGTGGTTAAACATTTTCAAGTTAAAATATTATAAAAATACCTATTTTGCCCATGCTACCTCTAGTAAAAATACCACACACATCCCTCATTTTTCTTGTAATTAAAGAAACAAAATGTATTGTTTCAAAATAACTTTAAAAAATCTATATTATTATTTTTTTCAAATTTTATATGAATTAAATTTTAAATTACTTATCTCAAATCTTTTATAATTATTTTATATTTTTCAATAATTTTGTTAGTTAGTCATGTACTTTTAGCTTTTTATTTTTAAACAAAATGTTTATATGTATATTATAAAGCATCTGTTATTATACATATCGTACATCTGTTAGTATACATAATTACATATTATAATATCAGGTTACAGTTTAACGAGAGCTGATTTATCCACCCCAAAAAAAAAAACACAGGTTGAAGAAGATGAGAAGTGGATTTTGAATATGGTAACTAAAATTACATCTATTAATTCAATAAATCCCAATATTATTTACTCATTTTAACAGGCAATCATCAACTCACCGTTGAACACCACCGGAGCCTTTCTTTCGATTGTGGATCTTTGGATTTCAATTTTCACTTTCGAAAATACCTTCAAACACTTCTCGCATAAACAAGGGGGAAAAACCACCATGAAGAAAAACCGAAATTTGCAGAGATATCGCCGGAGAAGACAAAAAAATGTGAACAATGGGTATTGAGATGATATCTCTTGGTTAATCGTTTGCTTTCAGATCCAGGGGCGGATCTAGGGGGTGGGCAAGTATGCTATGGACCACCGCAAATAAAGGAAATAAATTTGCCTTAGTGGCAAAGATCTCCAAGTTGTTAGATAAGGTCTTGAGTTCGACTCCTTTATGGTACAAAAAATTATTGTTATTTTTTTTGTCTAAATTTCTTTTGAGCCCCTCTCCCATAAACACATTATATTATATCTATATTACTATTTAGTCCACCCAAAATTCAAAATATACCAAAAAATTCCGAATTTTTTTTTTTTAGCCCCTCTCCCCAAAAACACATTATATTATATCTATATTATTATTTAGTCCACCCAAAATTCAAAATATACAAAAAAGTCCTAAATGTTTTCTTGTTTTTTAGCCCCTCTCCCCAAAAACACATTATATTATATTTATATTATTATTTAGTCCACCCAAAATTTAAAATATACAAAAAAAGTCCCAAATTTTTTCTTCTCCTAATTTATCAAAAAAAAAAAAAAATTCAATTTTTTTTTCCCTTCTCCTAATTTATCCAACAAAAAAAGGTTAAAATCTTTTTTTTCGGGGGCGCTGCCCCTGAACCCCAAAAAATTTAACCCCACTATACAGTAAATTCTTGGACCCGGCACAACCGGCATACCCTGAATTTTCGTCCTGGATCCGCCACTGTTCAGATCTACTTTTATGAGTTTTTTTAGTGATTTTTCTGAATTTTTTTGGGATTATATTTTTCTAAACTTCTTTGGGGATATGTTTTGAAATATTTTCGGAGATTTCTGGG